ACCTTTGGGTGCCCTCACGAGCTGGCACATGGAACCACAGGGTGGAATCGCTCTGAAGTTTTGGTTCTCTAACTTGCTCATCTTGATTCCTTGGCCCTGCACCACTTTCCACATTAGGAAAGTATTTAACCACCTCCCCAGGTACTGGCTGTTCTGCTTGCTTCCAGTTTTTCCCAATTAGTCCACGAGGTGGTGGGCATCCTGGGCCAGCCTCCTGGGGCCTGTGGGTGAGACTCCTCTGGGTAGCTCTGCTTGGGAAGGGGGATTGCTGGATCATGGGGTGGGTGCATTTTAGGATTCATTCATTCATTCATTCATTCCACGCCACATGGCTTGCAGGGTCTTAGTTCCCAGACCAGGGATCGAACCTGTGCCCCCTGCAGTAGAAGCACAGAGTCCTAATCACTGGACTGCCAGGGAAGTCCCGCATTTTAGGTTTTAATTGAAACTGCCAAGGTGCCCTCCTGCAGTCTGGTCAAAAGGCCCACGGGTTCTGATGTGCAGCTGACAGGCCCGCTATCCTGAGCATGTTTCATCCCCTTGAAGGGACGGGGGTCACAGTGGCTGCTGTTTACTGAGCATCTACTGTGTCCTGAGACCGTGGGATGCACTTACAGAAATCATCCTAGTCCACAAGCATCAGCATAGCTACACGCATACCTCAGAAATATTACGAGTTCGGTTCCAGACCACCGAAATAAAGCACGAGTCACAAAAAATTTTGGGTTTCCCAGTACATATAAGTTATGTTTACACTATACTGTAATCTATTAAGTGCAATAATATTAGGTCTTAAAAAGCAATGTACATACCTTAATTAAAAAGTACTTTATTGCTAAAAAATGCTAACCATCATCTGAGCCTTCAGCAAGTTGTAATCTTTTTGCTGGTGGAAGGTTTTGCCTCGATGTTGATGGCTGCTGAGTGATCAAGGTGGTGGTTGCTTGAAGACTGAGGAGGCTGTGACAATTTCTTAAAATAAAACAAAAATGAAGTTTGCCATATCAAATGACTCTTCCTTTCATGAATGATTTCTCTATAGTACACAGTGCTGTTTGATAGCATTTTACTCACGGTATTAGTTCTTCCAGAATCGGAGTCAATCCTCTCAAGCCCTGCCACTGCTTTATCAACTATGTTTATGTAATATTCTAAATCCTTTGTTGTCATTTCAGTAATCTTCAAAGCATCTTCACCAGGAGTGGATTCCATCCCAAGAAACCACCTTCTTTGTTCATTCACAAGAAGCAATTCCTCGTTCGTTAAAAGTTTTATCATGAGATTGCAGCAATTCAGTTACATCTTCAGGCTCTACTTCTAACTCTAGCTCTTCTGCTATTTCCATCACATCTGCAGTGACTTCCTCCACTGAAGTCCTGAACCCCTCAAAGTCATCCATGAGTGTTGGAATCAACTTCTTCCAAACTCTTAATGTTACTTTGACCTCTTTCTATGGATCACAAATGTCTTAATGACATCTAGGATGGTAAATCTTTTCCAAAAGGTTTTCAATTTTCAGATCCATCAGAGGAATCACTATGTGTGGCAGCTATAGCCTTGTGAAATGTATTTCCTTTTTTAAAAAATAAATTTATTTATTTATCTTGGTTGCATTGGGTCTTCATTGCTGCGTGCAGGCTTTCTCTAGTTACAGCGAGTAGGAGCTACTCTTTGTTGTGGTGTGCAGGCTTCTCATTGCGGTGGTTTCTCTTGTTGTGGAGCACCGGCTCTAGGAGCATGGGCTTCAGTAGTTGTGGCACATGGGCTCTAGAGTAGTTGTGGCTTGCGGGCTCTAGAGCGCGGGCTCAGTAGTTGTGGCCCACGGGCTTAGTTGCTCCGTGGCATGTGGGATCATCCCAGACCAGGGCTCGAACCCGTGTCCCCTGCATTGGCAGGTGGATTCTTATCTTTTTGCGTTTTTCTTGGCTGCGCTGTGCAGCAAGTGGAATCTCAGTTCCCCGACCAGGGATTGAACCCATGTCCCTTGCAGTGGAAGCATGGAGTCCTAACCACTGGACTACCAGGGAAGTTCGGATTAAGTTCTTATACGGGCACAGTTGGTGGTGCTGCAAAACAATTACAATAGTAACATCAGACATCACTGATCACCATAACAAATATAATAATAATTTAAAGTTTGAAATATTGAGAGAATTACCAAACTGTGACACAGAAGCACGAAGTGAGCAAATGCCGTTGGAGAAATGGTGCCGATCGACTTGCTCCACGCAGGGTTGCCACAAACCTTCAATTTGTAAAGAATGTGATGTCTGCAAAGTGTAGTACAGCGAAGTGCAGTAAAATGAAGTCTGCCTGCATCCCCATTTTACAGTAAAGGAAACTGGACCTCCGGGAGGTTGTCACTCACTGAGGTCACACAACTAGGGACATGCGGGGTTTGAAACCAGGGGTATCTGACAGCAGAGCCCTGCTCCTGCCCCCAGGCCCTCCTGCATCTGTGTTTGCTTGGCTCTGAGTGTGAGGCCTGGTACACATTTCAGGTGGAGGCCAAGCTCGCTGCTCTGCCTACACACCTACCTGGCAGGTGGAGGGCCGTCTTCCAGACCCCCAGTTCCCAGTGAAAGCGTGGCTCCGGGCCCAGCCACGAGAGGCATTTCCTGGGCTACCCGTCAGGCCTGGTGCCTATGCAACTCTGGGAACAGGCCTCGAGCCGCACAGCTTCCCAGGCGGTTTGGCAGCATCCCCGGCAGCTGCTTCCCCATGCCGCAGGCTTTGCCCAGCCCCATGGGGTACCGAGCATCAGTCTCTGAGGGGTTCCCCAGAGCCGGGAGCTCCAAGAGCCAGTAGGGAGTAATGGTCCCGTTTTACAGATGAGGAACTGAGGCCTAAGGAAGAAACTCGTGGTGGTTACAGTGTGTGGGTAGCGGAGTAGAACTCACACTTCCGTTCTTCCCGCCACCCTCCACAGCCTCTGGCTGAAAAACGACTTAGTCTCCCAGCCCACGCAGGAGGAAATGGGCTCTGGCTGCACGGCTCTGCCTTGGAGCTGCAGGACGATGGGAGAGGCTCTGAATTCACTCACGAACTGTAGTTCTGTTCTAAACACACTCTGGACCACCCCGGGGGCTTCTGGGGCCTGTGCCACAGAATTAGGGAACAGGGTTCCCCAGGCTCCTCCTCTGGGCTCTCACAGCCCCAGCATTCCCCAGCATAGCCCATGTCACGCTGTGTCTCGCCCACCTGACTGTGAGCCCAAGGGGAAAAAGCCCCACTTCTGGGGCTTTCACTGCTGGACACAGAGCAGGGATTCAAGTGTTTTCCAAGAGGATGGCAGGTGGAGAGGACAGGGGGACACTTAGGTCTCTCTGGGGAGGGTTTGGCCCCCAATCCCCGCAGCATCAGCCCCCCTCATCCGGCTCCTCTCCAGCTGTGGAAACTTGTGCCTCAGCCCAGAAAAATGAACTTGCTGGAAGTCAGCTACTTGGCTGCCAGGGCCAGCCAATCCGGCGCTGGGGGCACCTCGCTCGCCACCAGGGACGATGGCTGGGGGCTGGACCAGAGAGGCTGCAGGGAGGGCCCTGCCTGAGGCCTGTGCCCAGAGAGAGGTGGAGGGGAAGGAACAGGAAGCCGTGAGCGGGTGTTGAAGTGGTGCGGACAGAGGGCTGCATGCTCAGGGGGATACCGGCTGCCACCAGTTTCCTCGCTGCACATGGGCACACTGAGCAAGTCTCTCAACCTCAACTGGGCCACTCGGCATTTTCTCACTTTTTTCTCCTACCCTGCTCCCCTCCCTGTCCCCAGGTAGGAAAGAGCTCCTGAGATATAGATTCTAGAACTCAGACACAGACTCCTCTGTGGCAAGGGCGGGGACAAACATGAGATGAGGAGTTACACTGAGTACCGCCTTGCTTTGTCCCCATTTTACAGATGAGGAAACGGAGGTGTCAAATGATTAAGTGACATCTTAAAAGCCGTATCTTTTGGCTACTATGTGATTTGAATCCAGAGCTGTCTGAAGCCTGAGCTGTATTTCCTTCCTCTCCCGTCCTCCTCCCCAGTCTGGGCTGGCCTCGACGATTTTGCTCACGTCTCCCAGCCAGACCTTGCACTGTCCTGCTTTTTAGCGCTCGCCCCTCACTCTTCTGAGATAGACTCTCTGCAGCTGGTCCCATCTCCTCCCATCACCCCACAGAGACACCTGGGGCTCCCTCAGCCACCCAGAAAAGTTTTCTGCTTTTGGCCCACAGCCCTAGAGCCAGAGGAAACCCATAAATACAAACACATTTGCATGAAAGCCCAGGGGTCTACATCTGCAGCTAACAGCTTGGTTTAACTTCCAAGACAGAGCTGCCAGAAGTGGGAGCAGCAGCCACCAGCTTCCTGGGAGAAACGTGTCCCCATAGCCAGGTCAGTATCAGTTGGTGTTTATTTAGACACACAAATAAAAGAACCTGGCGGTTCAAACAGCTTGTGCCTTTTTTTTTTTTTTTTTTTGGGTGGGGGGGGATGGTGGGAGGTGGGGAAGGTGTGCGTCATATATATAATACATATATATTTTAAAAGATCAACATATCACCAGTCCCCCACATTTTTCTCTACTGAGCAATATATACAGCCCATACACACACACACACACACACACACACACACACACACACACACACATATAGATATATATATGTGCGTGTATATATATATATATACTACATTTTTTTTTTTCAATAGATAACTACATTCAAGTAATGAAACACAGGATTTACAATTTCCCTCTGAGGGCAGAGGAAAAGCAAATTCACATACAATTCACAGAGGAAGTACCATGAAAGCCCAGCCAGACAGGAGCTGAGGCCTCTCTGGGGGACGAGGGAGACAGGCAGCAGCAGAAATTATGACAATCACACTGCTGCTTATTGTGGGGGACAGGCAGGTGCCGATGAAGTGGGGGGCCCTGCCTGCTCTGCCTGGGCCAGGTCAGCAGGCCGTGCTAGCTGACCCAGGCTCCCTGGCTGGGGTGGGTTGGGGGCACATGTCTGGCAACCTCAATTTTCCAGGAGCCTCTCAAATCTGGGGTTCACAAAGGAGAAGCCGGCAAATGCTGTTTGGTCCATGGAGTCGATGAGGTTCTTGTCGCTGTAGGAGAGGCGCGGCTTCTCGTTCAGGAACTCCTGGTCGAAGTTGCTGTAGTCTCCAGGGGACCTCTGCAAGCAGAAGGCAGGGGTGTGTAAGCGGGACCCAAAGGGCAACCTTCCAGTGGGTTCCCGACGTTCCGGGGACTCATTCCTGGAGCCATAATCCCTGTTGGGCTGGGCCAAGCCAGAGCTGTCCTTATTTAGAACAGAAAAGGGAGTCTTTCTGCTGGAAGGTGGATGCTGTTACCAAGGGAATGAGGGAAGCCAGCAGGGGGCCTGGAGGAGGAAAGGTGGGCATCCACCCAAGCAGGGTTCTAGAAGACCACAGCACTGGGCCAAAGCCCACCCACCACCTGTTTTTGTAGGTCCCACAAGCTAAGGCTGGCTTTTGCATTTTTAAATATTTAGGGAAAAATCAAAAGGAGAATAACACTTCATGACATGTGAAAATTAAATGAAATTCAAAGTTCAGCATCCATAAATAAAGTGTTATTAGTGCCCAACCACACCCACTCACTGACATACCGTCTATGGCTGCCTTGAGACTATCCGGCCTGCAAAGCCTAAGATATTTACTATCAGGCTGTTCACAGGAAAAGTTTGCCAACTCTCTGCTTCTGAAGGTACAATGAAAGAGTGACTGAAAGAGGTCTTAAGCTGGTGGCTCTCAGGCCAAACTGAGCTGCAGGTACAACCATTTTGACTAGCCATGGGTTTTAATGGCATTTGAGCCAATATTTTAAAATTGGGCAATTTGGTGCTTCCCTGGTGGTGCAGTGGTTGAGAGTCTGCCTGCCGATGCAGGGGACACGGGTTCGTACCCCGGTCTGGGAAGATCCCACATGCCGCAGAGCGGCTAGGCCCGTGAGCCATGGCTGCTGAGCCTGCGCATCCGGAGCCTGTGCTCTGCAACGGGAGAGGCCACAACAGTGAGAGGCCCTCGTACCGCAAAAAAAAAAAAAAAAAAAAAATTGGGCAATTTGACATAAAAATCCTGGTTTCTGGCTTCTTTGAAAAGTGACAGAGCAGAGCAGCCCTGGCCCCATTTCCTGGCACCCACTCTTGGTGCTGAAACCCGCTTGGCCAGCTCATCACAGGCCCCAATTCCCACTGACAGTGGCTGCCAAACAGCTGCCTGGTGTTATTTAAAATCAGTCTATCCCTCTTTCTATCAAAAGCGAGACACTGAAAGCAGGCTGTGTGATTTTCCTACAGCTGGCCTGGCCTGGTAATGATGTGCCCAGTGCAGGAGGCACTGAGTTTGAGATCCCCGGAATGGCGGAGTGCTCTGCGGCTTCAAGACACAAACACGGGGGCACATTACGCAGGCTGCTCAGTGGGAACAGCGTGTCCTGACAGAGGAGGGGAAGCAAAGGAGAGAAAGGGGAAGGGAGGGAAGAGCTGCGATCAGAGAACGGCCACAGAGTTCAACTTCTGAGAAGTCCAGCCTGCCTCTGCTCTCCTGCTGGCTCCTTGGTGGTTTCTCTAGATTCTAGGCCTTTATGCAAACCATCCCTCCTCTACCTGGAATACCTCCCATCTGCCCTTGGCCTGGCCGAGCTTCCCCAGCCCTGCAGACATCCCATTTCCTCTCAGACCCACCCCGATCTCTGCATCTTGGGCACCTGCCCACAGACCCTCCCAATGGCAACTGATTGTGTGTGGCCTTGTGACATGTCTTGTACTGCTGTCATTTATCATAAATGACCATCAGTGTGCAAGTTTCCTATGTCTCTGAGGATCTGGGGCCCCTCTAGCTCTGGGACTGGGCCTCCCACTTCGCTATGCAGCCCAGCACAGTGCTCTGCACCCAGAGGGCACTCAGCATTTCCAATATTTTTTGGAAAATGGATTGGATAGATGGGTAGATGGAGGGAGGGGGGCCTTAACTCTGATCCCCAAAGCATACTCCCCTGCACACAGTGGGTTTTAAAGAATGTACGCTAAAGGGTGGCTGGATCCACTGTCACCAATGTTTGTTGAATGACTGACTGAGGAGAGATGGTGAGGATACGAGGGTAGAGGCTGTGGCTCAGTGTGCCAAGGAGGTTGGGAAAGCAGATTTGCTAGAAGAAGGGAGAGGAGGAGAGCATGTGAATGATACAGGAGAGAGGCAGGGTCAAGCAGGAGGAGTCTACCCCGGAAGGCAGGGAGGGACACTGAGTGGGCAGCCCCCACTGGAGTGGGATCACGTACCACTCTGGGCTTGAAGGGTGGCTCCACTGCACGTTTCTCCAGCAGAGCCCAGTTGATGGTCTTGAAGAAGGGGTGGATTTTGATGTTTCCTGTCACTCCCAGCCTCCTGGTTGTATCCCGTTCAAGCAGCTGCAATGCAGCAGGGAACCTGGTTAGCACCCAAGGGCTGTAGGAGATGGGAGCCTCAGAAAACCCCCAAGCAGGCCGAGGGGTGCCCAGGCTGGTCCAGCCCAGCCTGGTGTCACAGCCCAGGGCCTCTGGGGCTGAGAAGTCCTCTCTGGCCTCTGGTCCCAGGTCCGGTGGAGAAATAGGGCATGGACTGGGGCTGCCGGGACTCTCAGCTGGTGGGACTTGTGAGTAAAAGCCGTAGCTCTTATTGGGTGTTTACCATCTGCCTGGCAACATACATTTATGTTTCTTTCCCCAAAACTCTGTGAGAAAGGTTCTCTTCTGGCCTCATTTTGTAGATAAGGAGATACACTCAGAGTTTAGCCTAAGGTCTATCTGTCTTCTGATCCCAAGCCCATCATTGCCAGGCCAGGCTGATTCAGTGCAGGGAACATAGACAGGAGGTCCCAGGAACGTGGCAGGAGAGTGACCCCCCAATGTGTTAGGACCACAGCACTGGTGAGGCTGCCATCCCTGAGACAGGAGGCTTCTGGCATTCCCGTGACCTGGCGTCTGCCAGCTCCTGCCCCTGCCAGCCCAGCCCAAGGGCTCCTACCTTCTCCAGGATGTCCTTGGACTCCCTGGTGATCCAGCGGGGATAATACGGTGAGTCCACACGGATGGACTCGAAGAGTTCATCCTCATCGTCACCGTGGAAGGGGGACTGACCAATGAGCATCTCATAGAGAAGGACTCCAAAGGACCACCAGTCCACGGAGAATGAGTACTTCAGGCCCTGCAGGATCTGGGGCAGACGGGGTGCCAGAGCTGAGGGGGCCCTGAAGCACAAGCCCCGGCCAGCCCTCCTCAGCCTTTCGTCTGTGACTCGGACATTGCCACCCACCCCCTGTGGAGACAAGGTGTCAGCCAGAGGCGGGGCCGGGAGGGTGCCACTCACCTCGGGGGCGATGTAGTCAGGGGTGCCACAGAAGGTGCTGGCCTGTTTGTCCCCAAACATGTTCTCCTTGCACATGCCAAAGTCAGCAATCTTGATGTGGCCGTCCCGGTCCAGCATCACGTTGTCCAGCTTAAGGTCCCTGCGGGGAGGGGACAGGAAAAGGAGTCGTTAGGGTCCAATTCCCCTCCTCCCCGTAGTCCCCTCCCATGTCTCCATTGTCAGCCCGGAAAGCCTAGGACTCTCTCCAGGGGACGAGGGAATGAGGAAGAGGAGGGGAAAGAGGTGCTAAACACAGGTGCTTCCTGCAAGCCGCCTACTGTGTGCTGTGTGCTGTGTGCTGTGTGCTGGACACACACCATCCTACTTCCCGAAGCCCAAAATGAGGCTCAACGAGGTGGTATCACTTGCCTAGGGTCACCCAGCTAGTCAGCTGTGGAAGCGCCCTGGACTCAGGTTTGTCAGACTCCACAAGGGCAGGGAGCCCGTCTATTTTATGTAGGTATTTGAGTAGATAACTTAGGCACACGGTAACAAGCAACAGAAAAGCAGAACAGCACAAGGCCCTAACCTCGAGCGAGGTTAGGCACTAACCTCGCTTGCCAGGCCCTCCCTAGACTGAGTCCAGGCACGGACAGCACATTACAATGTGCATCTCATGCCACCTTTTAAAGCCTGGCCCCTAACATCCAATATGCACTGTCCCATGGATTGGTTTTCCACTTGACAACATACCTTGGGATCATCCCACAACAGTAAACACAGCACGGCCTCAGCCTTTCGGTTGAGTACATATTAATCCATGGCAGGATGGGACTGTCATTTATTGGGTGAGAATTTATGAAAGCAGACCCCATTGGTGGAAGCTCAGAGTGCTCAGATGCAGCTGCAGAGGGAGACTGATGGCTCCGAGGGAGGGAGACACCATACCAGTCAGTGCTGCGCTCCCGCCAAAGGTGTCGAGTATGGGCAGGGAGTTCCCAGTCCCTGGAGCTGTGCCAGCCTCAGCTAAGGGGCCACAAGGAATTGTAGCAATGGAGTAGGTGGTTTAAGCAAATATCCAACTAAAGACCGACTCCAAGAGGAGATGGGGCCACAGCTGGACCGGGATCCACTCAGCATTTCAGAGGATATGATGAGGTTGGGGCCTCCCCTCCTAAACACCCCCCACCTTCCGATCCCCGCACCTGTAAATGATCCCTTTCTGGTGTAGAAACTGTAGTCCACAGACTATCTCAGCTGCATAAAACCTGGATGAGACACACACACACACAGCGTCCTGAGATTTCTGTGAGCAGCCCCTGCTTCTCCCTGGGTCTTCATCCCAACCCCCAGGGACAGGAAATGCTGAAAATAACCCCACGGACAACCTGGTCCTGATCAAGCACATCTTGTATCAGGCAAGTAGGGACTGGTAGCCAAGGTAGAAAAGAAAATTGTGAAGAAAAAAGCTCCAAATGAGATAATTCTCTGTCCTAAGAGTGTATGCATTTATATAGATATGCCTGTGTGCACACACACACAGTCTGGGGGTGCATGCTAGTTTGGGGGCCACCCACCTGGGTCCTGCATTGTGCAGGATCACCCACCCGCTGAGGCCCAGGGAGGGGACAGGACCTGGCATGTCTAGGTTGTGTCCCCAGTCACAGCTCACCCCTCAACCCTAGCTTCCCACACGGGGCGGGGGATGGCCCTGGCCACCCCAAGTCTCTCCAACCCCAGCTCCAGCCCGGGCTGGTTTCACCAGGGGGAGGGAAGAAGGAATGGAAGGCAGATGGGCAGAGGGCTCTTCCCCCAACAGGGCCTCGCGTACGTGGCACGGTAGAGCTCGAAGCGGCCTTTGTCCTGGATGTGATACATCAGGTCGCCCCCATTGAGGAACTCCATCACAAAGAACAGGTGGTCCTGTAGGGGGAGGGTGGTGAGCAGAGGCACAGAAAGTGGCAGGCAGCTCCCTCACTGAGGACCACTAGGGGCAAGCCCCAACAGGAAGCAGGGGACATCTGCCCTGGCGGATGTGAGGGGGGAAGAACGGCCCTGCCCTGAGGAGTCTGAGGAAGGGGGACTCAGCCTTGCCTTAAGTGGTCTGAGGAAGAAGACTGGGCCCTGCCCTGGAGAATCTCAGTGGGAGACATGGCCTTGACCTGAACGACTGAGGGGGGATGTGGGCCAGGGGCACTGATAGTGGGTGGGCCGGCACCTTGGTCTGGAAGGTGCAGAAGAGATGGGTGAGAAAGGGATTCTCCCCGGAGAGCGCCAGCACCCGCTTCTCCACCATCGTGCACTCCACGTCATCATCGATCAGAACCACGTCCTTCTTGAGGGCCTTGATGGCGAAGAATTCCTTTTTGCCCTTCAGCTCTGCGAGCAGCACCTGACAGGTGGGCAGGGGTGCTGAGCATGGGAGGTTCGGACCAAAGGTCAGGGCGCACGGCCCAACCCAACCCGGAAGCACCCAGGGAGGGTGGGAAGCAGATGCCCCTTGGCTACCAAACCCAGGTCCCTCGGGCTGCCTGCCCCAGGGCCATGGGGCCCTCACCTTCCCAAAGCTGCCTTTGCCCAGGACCTTAACGAAGGTGAAGTTCTCAATGCTGCACTTGGTGCTGCTCTCCCAGATCTTGCCGTAGGTCCCAGTTCCTGCCCGAGAGACAGCTGCTTTAGCCTCATGTCTCACGTCCAGAGAGTGGACCTCCCCTGCTGGGTCCTTCCCCACAGAGGTGCCTCCTCTCCAGTTGCACTCAACTGTGTGGAGAGGCTAGGTCCCATGCTGGCGTGGGGGGGTAGGGGCTTTCCTGGAAGGAATGGGCACAGCTTCACCTGGGACATCATCTCCAGAGACTCCTGGCTTCTTCTCAAAATTCTGGTAGATCCCAACAGTCTCTGCAGTCTCGGAGTCCGACCTCCGGGCAGGTCTCTGGAGGGGGTAAGGGTTGGGGGGCCAGAGGTCATCCCATGGTCAGAACTCCCAACCCAGAGGGAGGACCCCAACCATCCATAACTCCACCCTCAATACCAATGGGGGACAGCAGGGGCAGAGCCCGGGACCCCAGGCAGTGCATGTGCATGTACACATGTGTGAACAAGTGAGCATGCGTGCACACGCGCACACACACACACACACACACACACACACACACTTCTGGCACAGAGACGCCTCGGTGGTCTGGAAGGCACTGATTACAAACAAATGTTCTGGAAATTGAACCCTAACTTCCCAGCCACTTACTCAATAGATTTTTATTTGTGTTGCCTTCACTTTTTTTTTTTCCTCACTTGTGATAGATTCCAGAATCTTAAAGTTCTGTGGCCTCCTTCAAGCTCCACCCATACCCAAACACACACACACACACAACATGTACACACCGGACTTCCCTGGTGGCGCAGTGGTTAAGAATCCACATTCCAATCCAGGGCACACGGGTTCGAACCCTGGTCCAGGAAGATGTCACATGCCACGGAGCATCTAAGCCCATGTGCCACAACTACTGAGCCTGTGCTCTAGAGCCCACGAGCCACAATTACTAGCGCCCGGGAGCCACAATTACTGAAGTCCATGCACCTAGAGCCCGTGCTCCACAACAAAGAGCGAGCCCCTGCTTGCCACAGCTAGAGAAAGCCCGCATGCAGCAACAAAGACCCAACACAGCCAAAAATTAATTAATTAATTAAAAAAAAAAAAGTAAAGGAGGGAAAGGAGATTTTAGGTAAACTTTTTTTTTTGCGGTACACGGGCCTCCCCCTGTTATGGCCTCTCCCGTTGCGGAGC